GGGGGGGGTTGGATTCTGTAGATAGTACTGATTAATTTTTTTATATTTATTTAATAGGAGTTTTCCTTCAAGGAATTCAACCCTAAGGTCTGTTCTACTCTTAGATTTTGGGTCAACATAGCTGTGAAACTCAGTGGGTGAAAAATTATGTTGACCTAAAACCTGCTATAAACACAGGTTGACGGGGGAAAAAGCTTGATGGAAACAAACTGCCATGAAGGAAAGTAGTGTTCCTGCAGAGATGGAAAAACCTCTTCCATCTCTATAGGCTGCATCTGTGCTACAGCCATAGCAATGTCACTCTGGGCACCATAATGTCCATTCTTCAAACAGTGAACCTGCTGCTCTAAAAATTCACTTCTTTCAGGAATTCTCTTTTATAAGATTTTCAGTTGTAATTCAGAATGCAGGATTCAATGAGATTTTAAGGCTCTAAAATTGCCTCATCAACACAAGATGATGTCTTTTTCATGTGAATTATGTGGGTTTTTTAAACAATATTATAAATTATGCTGAAGACTTTCCATGTGGTAAACAGGCACTTCAAAATACTTACTGTATGCTTCAGTCTCTGTTTCAGATTTTTTAAGAGAACAACTTTCCTGTGGTTGTCATTTTTGTGATGCTCCATCGTACAGTTTGCTCATGTTACACATTGTCTTTATAGTGAATTTCCCAATATTACGAAGTTCCTGTAGTAACAGTGTAGCAATGACAAAAGGTGGATCTTGCCGATAGATATTTTCTCCAGCAAAATAAATGATGGAGGTGTCTATGAAACAGACATCTTCTGTCAAAATAGGAATTAGGACACTTTGCTTGCAAAAAATCATTGTGTATATACTAAAATTCCTTTCTATCTTGGCTGATATTCAAAAATTGAACCCTTTAAAACTTCAGGATTTGCTAGCTTGCAGCCATCCCTCTTCCCCCTCCTCCCCCTTTTTTTGAATATAAAAACATTTTGTACAATATGTTATTTAACTTTCAGACCTTTATGCAATGACGGAAGAAATAACAACTAACGCAGGATTTGGAAAGATCTTTCCAGCTCCTAGCTCTAATGATAAAGAGGAGACAGAAGAAGAAGATGATGATGATGAAATACTGTCAGAATTTGTTTCTAGAAGGGAACTGGAAAAGGGCAGACTTTCTAGAGGAGGTATTTTCTCTTGATTATATTGTAACTAATATTATATACAAATCAATAATTTAAAAATTGATATTTTGCTTAAAATAGGAAATTACGTTACTGTTGCATCGCCTGTAATTTACTATTCATGTTGCAAGATATTTGTTTTTGTTACAATGTATAATTTTTAAGAGGTTTTAAAAAGCTGATGTAAAGTTTTTTGAAGTCATATTACATGCATATTGATTATTTTCCTCTTTTTTCTGTCTTGGTCAAGAAATGGAAAAACTTTCAATTTTTAAAAATTATGAGCCAGGTGATCCAAATTGCAGGATTTACGTGAAGAATTTGTCAAAACAAGTTCAAGAAAAGGTGAGTAAGGCTTGATGAAAATGTTATGTTGTTTTTCTTTGTTTGCTGCCTTTTCTTACACACCCATTTTAATTTCAGGATCTCAAGTTTATTTTTGGACGATATGTTGACTTTCAATCAGAAACTGAACGAATTATGTAAGTTATTTCAGTTCTTCATGGAATTAAGCTATGCAGTAACTTTTAAAGCAATGGTAAAAACTACAGTTGAAATTAGTCATTTTAAGTACCTTTTGTCTGCTTTTAATTTTTGGAAGAAAATCAAATTGGCATGAAAATGTTAATTGTTGAGAGAGAATAGAATTCTTCATATGTAGTTAGCAAATAGTGGAAATGTGGGCTTTTGAAGTTACATTTCAGTACAAAATGCCAAGTTTAAGTAGTTTATCTGGAAGTGGTGTACTTATTAACAGAATATTTTTGACACCTACCACACAAAAATGGAGAGAGACTGGCTAATATTTTTTTAATGCAGTATTTATAATCTATGCAGTATGTACACAACTGCTTTCTACTAAGTGGAGTGGTACATCTTGTTCTAAAGACTGAGCTGTGCCTTTACAACAGAAACCCTAATTCCATTCCTGATGTCACCTGATTGGCCTAAATGTACAGCATTGTAATGACCAGGGCTCGCCAGCCACGCTGTCCGGCGATCTGCGCATGCGCAGATTGCCCAAACCCAGCTCTTCCGGGTTGCAATCTACTTGCCACAGGCAAGTAGATTGTATTATTTGTCGAGCCCTGGTAATGACTGAAGTTCTAGTTGGCTGTGCATCTGTTAAATGCTTGCTTGTGTATGCAGTATTTGTTGCAATAGGACATCAACTTACTATTCTGCCTTCTTGATTTTTGACAAATTGCTAATTTATTTTTCTAGGCAAACTATCATCAGTATCTAGTGTTATATCCCTGCCTGTACCAGAATGTGGGCATTGATGCCACTTCCATTCACACCTCGTCTTGCACCTTATGAAATTAATGTCTATTGTAAATTGTGGTGGTGATGGGGCAAAATTTAAACTTTTCCTCCCTCTATCCATTTTATTTCTAGGTTTGATATACGTTTGATGAAAGAAGGTCGCATGAAAGGACAGGCTTTCATTGGCCTTCCTAATGAAAAATCAGCTACTAAAGCTTTGAAAGAAGTAAACGGATACATTTTGTTTGAAAAACCCATGGTGGTTGTATCCTTTTCCAAATGTTTGCATTTTAGTGGCTTTTAAATTTAGGACAGTTCCAGAAATTCTTGCTGCTTGTCCTGTAAACCCACTGTAATTCATAAAAGACTGTAGAGTAGAAATGTATTATTAAAATTCATAAATGACTGTAGAATGGATATTAAATATTAAAATTGCAGACAATGTAGTAGTCATGTACTACACATTTGTTTTAATTATAATAATTTAAAACTTTATTAGTTAGACTTTCAATCTGAACAGAAGAGTAAATATTATTTACCTTAACTCATATAAGAAGTCACATGGACTAGAGTAAAGTCAAGTATGTAGGTGTTTGCAGTATCAGGGGTATTATTGTAGAAGATTTTGACTCACTTGTAGAATTTACAAGTATTTCTTTTCAAAGTTTATATTCAGATAAAAACATCATGTGTTGTAACAGCTTTAAATTCAAAGATGTTTTTAAAAATAGTTAATATATGCCAATGAAATCATGGATCACACAGAAAATCCAATTTTGAGCTACAAGTAAATGTGATGGTGAAATTTGATTTGAAGAAAGGGTAAGTGTAACTTCATGTGACTGGAGTAAGAGGTAAAGTTGGATTGAGCATGCAAATTACATACATATTACATGTGCATCAGAATACGTTCATTATCCAAGCTTTATTTATCTTCTAGTAAATTGGTATTCCTCCACTAATGTAATTATGACTTCCTGCTAACAATTATCACTTATACTTGGACTTAAAGTCCTTAACAGAAGCTTAGCAATTTGCACGATCTGCTAGACCAAAACAGGATTCCAAAGAAGAGAAAAGAAAAAGATAGAACTATGCTAAAGGTAAGTAGATTTAGTGAGAAAGGAAAGAACATTCAGACATACACAGGCTGTTTTTTTTAATAATCCATTATTTGAGTGCATTGTGTGTTGGAGGGGGGAGGGTGTTCTAAAAAAGGAAATCTATCACAGGACTGTTGACCCTACAGTTAACTTTGGGGCACAAGGGTGAGAGTAGGATGTTGTCAGTCTAACCCCCAAGGATCATCCTCCTACAGTCCTATATGCCCCAGAAGCAGACACTGCTTCATTGCTGTAATGCATAAATAATACTTGAGAGTTTCCTTTCTGGCATCTTCCAAAAAGTCTTTGCTTTGGTGACTCTGTAGTTAGTGGCATTTTTTTAATCCCTTCCCTTTTTTTGGGGGTGGGGGGGTCTAATTGTTAGTTAATGCTTTAGCTTGTGTAATGTTAAACAAGATTTTGGCCTTTCTGTTAAGGACGTAAAATCCCAGTTAATGGGTTAACCAGTTAAACGTTAGGTTAAGGTAATATTTAACTAATTAACCTTTTAAGCAGTATCTCATGGCTCAAAACTCCCAACCTGTGGGGCTCCCATTCTCAGCCCCGCCTTGGGTCTGGCTGTTGTTTCCTGGCCCCAGCCCTGTGGAGCTGGGGCTGGCTGCCAGAGCTGGAGCAACCGTGTCTGCAGTCAATTGTGCTTAAAAATAGGTTTGTTTGGTTATGGTTTTCTGTAATACCTGTGTCCACACTGCCAATAAAAGCATATTTAACATCATGTTTGAAAAAGTGTTCAAATTTCCTCATACAGTCAAGTCCTTAATTTACATCTAAGAAAATATCCCTAAATGTTATGATTAATTTGGTTATCTATTGATTTTTTTTAAATGAAGATAACTTCAATGTTGCTGTTTCCAGTGGAATAACAGCACATTTTCTTAAAATTATGCTCAGCTTTACTGTCACTAATAAAGTATTTATTAAAATAGATGTTTTATCATAGATTTCTTGTGTCCATTGAAGGCCAAGCTATATAAATGCCTTTAAGGGTTTTTCTTATGTTTTTGAATTGTTGGTGAAACTCCCTCTGAAACTTATATAATGTGCAATACTGAAATGGTGTGTAATCTGTTTTTGAATAAGATTTGGTCCCACTTGGCAAAGTTAACTTTTAATTTTATCAAATTAAAAACAAATACCATTCACAAATATTTTCTTACATTAGTTGACAAGAAATAAATACAAGTTAGCTAATTTACTCTAAGAGTGATAAAGGCACAAATAAGCTTTGTTTTGAAACTTGTTCCCTTTTGTTTCTTCATAGAATTATTCCATTGTTTTACAGTTATTTTATGTAGTGGGACAAATGCTGAAAAACAATGAAGATACTCTTTGAATGGATGTTGGCAACCTTTAACTCTGAGCACTGAAAAAAACTGTACTGCAATTAAATTCTAGTCTTCCCAATTTATTCTTTGTAAATTAAAATAAGTCACTATTCCTCTTTCTGACTAAACTAACTACAAGTTCCAGTTCACATTCATATTATATAAATAGAAAAATCTAGACCTTGGTTTGATCTCTAATCACATTCTGAACAGTCAATTCACAGTTATTATATTTGTAATGATTAGATTTGCATTAGCAGATTAAAATTAAAAGCCTAATAAAAGGAGTGACAGTCAAAACACCTTCCTTTAACCCAGCCTTTTGTAAGTATCATGGAATACATACAACTTTTGTGTTTATGATTGCCCACTACAGAACTCAAGTAAAGTGGCACAGTGGGTGTGTGAGTTTCAGTAACTTTGAATTGCTTTGCTTTTGGTAAAGAAAAACAAACATGAACCCTAATTTTCTATGGTTGCCATGAGCCAAAATGACTTGATGCAAAATAGTGGTTTCTGTGGTATGAAGTCTGGATCTGCAAGGAACAAAGGCTTAAGAGATTCAGGTTTATAAGTAAATTTTGTAAATAAAATAAAAATACTGTAAAATGTGAATTGTATAGCCAGGAGGGATGTGAATGTGTACTCATGTACACTGTTAACTGATGAGCCTAGGCTCACTGGTTAACTGTCACAGTTACACACCTTTATCAGAGGCAGCAGCAGCCTTGGGGTGGGTGGGGGGGAAGCTGGAAACTGGCTCCCCTTGAGCACTGCTGCTGTTTCCCTTCCCCCCCCAACATGTAAACCAGGTAATTGCTGCAAATTTCAGTGGCTATCCATTTACAAAATTACATGCATTTTAACATTCCTAATACCCAGCAAAGTTAAATGGATACACGAATACTATATGGCTACGTCTACATTGGCAAGATTTTGCACAAAAGCAGGTGCTTTTGCGCAAAATCTTGCCACCTGTCCACACTGGCCGTGAGTATTTGCTCAAGAACACTGACGTTCTAATGTACGAAATCAGTGCTTCTTGCGCAAATACTCTGATGCTCCCGCTCAGGGATAAGCCGCGCAAGACACTAACAAATTACCATATAAAGTGACACTTATAGGATGCGTCTACACTGGCATGATTTTGCACAAATACTTTTAACAGAAAAGTTTTTCCGTTAAAAGCATTTGCGCAAGAGAGCATCTACACTGGCACGGATGCTTTTGCGCAAAGGCACATGCCAGTGTAGATGCTCTCTTGCGCAAATGCTTTTAACGGAAAAACTTTTCTGTTAAAAGTATTTGTGCAAAATCATGCCAGTGTAGACGCATCCTATAAGTGTCACTTTATATGGTAATTTGTTAGTGTCAAATTATTTTTTTAAACAGTGAAACGGGCTACGTTTAATTGACAGTAATTCTAAGTATTACTACTTTCTCCTTTAGGAAAGCATGTTAATTACAATGTTTTCATAGAAGATGAAAAATACACAGCTTTGACTTTCATGGGCTGGAATTCCCTTTTCCTGTCACAAATATTTTCATGAACGTTTGGGCACTCAGTTCTGATCTAAATAAAATGCCAACTATATGAGAGAGCAAAATCAGGTAGAAGCTAATGTGTCAAAGGTTACTGGCTCCATAGACTGCATTGGATGGAAGCATAACTTTAAAACAATGGAGTTGATGAAAAACAGAACCCTATATAAAATGCAGACCACTGAATGAATGGGACAGTAAATGTTGGCATTTTCCTAATAGTTCAAGTTGTAAAGAACTTCGTTTGCTTATGTGAATGGAGTCATCATTGGTGCACACGTGAGCTGTCACTAATGTGCAGAGAAGGGATCAAAACAGCTATATTTTATCAAACAGTCTTGTAAGAGATAGTAAAAAAGTTGTGTAAATGCAATACTGAGAATCAAGTAAAATTAAACCACATTCTGCTGTTCTTCTTTAGAAACATTCCTGCGTAAATACTGCAGTAATACTGTCATGCAGAGTGTATCCTTTCTTGTTGTATCCTTTTTTTGTACAGTGTTTCCCATAGCGCTCAAATATCTCAAAGTTCTCATTTGGTGCAGATGCGGGGAGGAATTTACACCTTTTTCATATATACACAATTTTGTAAATCTATTAACATAGGTAAGACACTTAAAAATTATGAAGGGAACTTTTTTTCTGACAAACAGTGAATCAGGTCACTTATTTACTTAAAGGGACACCATGAATGTTCTTAGTTTCAAAATGTGACCATTCCTCCTTGTTCCTTCTGACTCCTTATAATTCATTTTTACGGGCCACATCCTCAGCTGGTGTAACCTGGCTTTGTTCCATTGATTTTAGTGGAGCTTTGCTGACTTATATCAGCTGCAGAGCTGGCCCTAGATGTTCTTTTTAATAAATAGCAACTCCACACAGCATGTTTCAGTTTTGATGGGGTGGTTATAAGCAGAAAACAATCCTTGAAGTTGTCTTTTTATCTAATACTTTTATGTATTGACAACTTGTGTCTGAGTTTCTGAGAAGCGACCTGAAATTAGTTTTTTTGTAACTTTTTTTAGAACAAAGAACAAAAAAAATCTAGCTGTCTCATGATGAAGTAATGCAGACTGACTGAAGCTAAACTTTATTATTTAGTGCTACCTTTGTTTCCCACTTTCTGGTAGTGTTTTGTGGCTACTAATCTTTATTTTCCTGGGAGGGTGGGGGTTGTACCGTAGCATTCTCTGATTAACCTTCCTTTTTTAATAGTAATATAAACTAATATATGTGTAGGAAGTTAAATTTAGCTGTCTCATGTATGATTCACTAATTTTTTCTATCTTAAGATTTTCAACTGTCTAGTTAAGCTTCTGACAACAGAACAAAGAAATTTTCCAGTAATGTATACGTTTTAACATGCCTTTATAATGTTCCAGGTTCCTTTTGTGTTCCATCTCTTTCAAGTGTTACCAAGCTATGGGAAGAAGCAATGTGATCATCAGGACTATTGAACAGTGCGTAGTAGCATTTCAAATGTATTTAAAACAAGACTTAATTCTCTTCATTTTTAAAGGTTCCAAATGCTTTTAAACAAATTGTAGCTTATGAGAAGACAGATATATGAAAAATGCATATTCATGTGCTTGTTAAATCTCTAATAAATTATTATTTTCCCTTTCACTTTGCATTCTAACTGCTCTTTTTTGGAGAGGAGATGTTTAACTCTTACAGAAATTCAATACAGGTTACACCTCCATGGTCCAGTACCCTTGGGACCCGACCAGTCTTGGATGAGGGATTTTACCGGACAAGAAGAGGTCATTTCTGGCCTACAGGGCTGCCAGGCTCCTGGCCCCACGGGACAGCCTCGCTGCCTCTCAGTCCTACCAGGCAGTTGTGCTGCTGGATGGCAGTTCAAGGCTGAGGTTCAGCTGTGCTGCCAGGAGGCAGCACCACTTCTGAGCTCTGACCCCTTTGGGGAATTCTGCTAGGTAGCAGTCCCACTGCCAGACAGCCCCACCGCCTCCAGTCCTGCTGGGCATCTGCAGCGCTGGGTGGCAGCCCTACTACCTCCAGCACTGCTGGGAAGCTCTGTTGTCGGGTGGCAGTAGGACTGCTGGGCTCCTGGTTTTGCTGCCACAGAGCATCCCCACTACTGGGCTTCAGCCCCAACTCAGGGCTCCCAGCACAAGGCTTCTGTCGGGACTCTCTGGTCCTGGAACAGCCATGGTCCTGCCAGACCATGAATATTGCCAGATCAGAGAGTCCCAGTTTAGAGAAGTTCAACCTTTACTTAATTATTTTACATCTTTATGCCACAGAGTATTTGTCAGAAGAGACATTCAGAGACTCCATGGTGAAAACTCTTTTTTCTCCTCCTTGAGGATGTTGATGTGCTGTCTGAAAGCAAAAATGGGAATAAGAATTGGTTTTAGTGAATCAGGAATTTTTGTTTTGTCTTGAAATCATACAGAACTAATGCCCTGGTTTTGTGCTTGAGACACATTGCCATCAGCGATTTTGTCATTCACGTGAATGCAAGTTGCTGCTGGCCAATGTCAGTAAAACAAGAACCATATTTGCATGAAGAGGCCTAAGTCCTGATTGAAACCTCTGCACATTACCATAAAATAAATATTACACACTAATAATTTTAAGCAGTGGTAAGCCAAAGGACCATGTAGGCTAGCATTCTTATTCTATTATTGAGTCAGCATTGCTAAAAAAACCAATGCTTTAGACTATCTAAAAGTATCTTATGTTACTAATTTTTAGAACTATAAAGTGTAGCTAGTTTATATATTACCTGCTAAAACCGTGTGGGAAAGACTATGTAAAAATGCTCTGATAGTGCAATGCAAATATTTTGCATCCCCTAAAATCAGGAATAAGGGATCTTTTGGAAAAGGCTTTATTTTTCTGAAAGATCCCCGTCTAGACTGGTGCTTTTTTCCGGCAAAGTCCCGAGCCGGAAAAAAGCGGCAGCCATGTTTATACAAATCCCCGCTTCATTTGCAATAACGAAGTGTCTAATCTGCATCCCTTTTCCGGAAAAGGGGTGCAGTGTAGACACAGCCCTTGTGTATAATTTTAAAGGGTTTAAATGCCTTGAATCTTAACATCTTTTAAATTACCCCTTTTTAGCAAGTCATGGGGAGTCTGCTTCCCAGATAGTGTGTAACTATAAAGTTCACTTTTAGTAACAAATGGCTTATAAAAATCACAGCATTTCAGTTATAGTCAACTTAGTACAGGGGTGGTCAACTTGTGGCTCATGAGCTGCATGCGGCTCTTCACCCCTGAAAGTGTGGCTCACAAAGCCACCCCATGCACCCCTACAAACAGCCCCCAGCTCCCTGTGCACACCGGATGCAGGAGAGCCATCTGGTGTGGCAAGATGGCGGTGGCCAGCTGGAGCCTTATGTGTCCAAAAAGCCTAGCCCATTGTATTTAAAGGGGCAGCTTCCTTTTTTTTTTCTCAACAACTCTGACTGCTGGAGATCTCTTTTTCTTTTTTCCCTCTCAACAATTCTGGTGCGGTGCTACTCTTCTCATTTTTTCCACCGCTATTGCAGCTCTCTTAGTTTAATGGGTTGGCCATTCTGACTTAGTACAATATGCATGATTTTTAGATATAGTCTCCTATCTCTGTAGGTTTCAAGCAGATGCCAGGCTACAACAATAAAGCACTTGGCTAATTCTCACAATAGATTTTCTTGACTAAAGAAGCTATTTCTTAAGGTGTTTATTAAGGTCTTCTAGCAAAAGAGTTCTTGATGAATCATTAGGATCTTAGGACATCAAAAAGTACATTTTTTTTTATATAGCATAAATCTAAAATTTGGCTAGATTCTTGAGTCTGACTTGGTCATTCTGTGACACATCGCTGTCAGAATATGCCTGTCATGCATGTGTATCAGTCCTCAGAAGGTCACTTGAACCCAAGGTAAGTCTAGTCATTTTCCTTGAAGAGTGAGCCTATTGAAAATGTATTGCTGTGGTTAAATGGAAAATGCATACAGCTTGGGTGCACTTCTGCTGCTGGAGACTGCAGTTAAGAGCATTTCCACCTTCAGACACTTAAATTTTGTGGTATATTCCAAAGAATCATAGCTGACTGTCCACTGAATATAAAGCTAACTATATGAAGTGTATGATGATGATAGCACATGAAGAGAAAAAGACCTCCTGTAGCCACAGCAGATCTACTTCCTCAAGAATCAAGATTATCTTCAGCAACCCATCCCACAGCTGGAGCTCACAAGAAAACACTTGCCACCACTGCTACTGTGAGAAACAGCTATCACTCAGGGAGCCAGCCACTTAGAAAAGATTCTGACATGTTGCTGAGTGTGATGGTTCTGAGGTAGAGGGTGGGTGATGGAAAGATGAGAAGAGTACATAATGGATGTTGGTGAGGATGAGTTAGAGGACCTTTTCCAGGGAACATTGGACATATTGCTGACAGGCATAATATATTACAGTAGAGCCCCTTTTTTGCCAGAATATTTCTGTTGCTTTGGTGTATGTCTTCCTTCATTTTAATCCAAGCAGATTGGTGAGTGGCATATTTTCCCTAAAAGTATTTCAGGAAAGGGTGGGGTATTTTCAGTACTGACCACACAAATATCTAGAAAGGTATGATATTCCCCCTTTTTCTTAATCTGTTCCTGGTTGGTTGGTTTGTGTGTTTTTGTTTGTTTTTCAAACTGTGGATTTCAAGGAAATTCCTGGTGTGCTTTACTTCCCATTTTTTTGGGGAAGTAGCTCATGCTACTAATATTCTCATAGAGGACCTTCCTTACACTTTATGGGGCCCTATGCAAATGAGCCCTGCCAGTATGACTTCTGATGGGGCTCGGGGGTTCTTTCCCTTATTCCCCCCGCCTGGTTCCCCATGTGTGTTTTGTGCCAGGGGCCTGGGCTTCCCTTCCCCCAAGGCACATATTCTTCCTGTGTTTGGGGGCTTGCCTGGGGCTGGAGCTGAGACTGAGGGCTCCTCTCTGCCCCCAGCCTACATGATAGAGCCCTCACTAGTCTTCTGGCTGAGAAGAGCATGTTGAAGTGATATCTGGCAAAGGAGAACAGATGGAGGAAGGAGGCAGAGAGGAACCAACAAGGCAGCAGCAGAGGTAATAGAGCTGTACTTATACATACAAGTACAATGGCAGCTGCTTAAGCCATGTGAAAATTTGCTGCTCCAAATTTTCAGGTGCCCTTCGTAATTGCATATGCCTTGGGGCAACTCCATTCTCATAGCAGCACATATTTAGCAGACAAATTGCTCAGGTCATGCTTGGGCTTTTTCCTCTTTTGGGGCTCTGTCTTCAGTTTCTGAAACTGGATCCAAGTTGGTTTTGTGTGACAGAGCACAAATATTTATTCTAGCCCTTGAGCTCTAGTAGTTTTCACCATGAATAAAGCATTTCTCTACTCCAGCTGAAGTTACCTAATAAATAGGATATACTCCAGTCTCATAAGGAGAATGCAGCATGGTAACAGTAGTATAGGCAGGTATAGAACACAGTATTGGTTGGTCAACTAATACTACTACTTGTTGTACTTAGATATTCTTTGAAAAGAGCTGAATCTCTTAATGAGTTAAACCCTGACAGCTGTAGCTCGTCTGAAAAGCAATATTCAGTCAGGCTACTTAACAAATGAAGTATTAAGCAACAATCATGCAGTTTAAAATGTTTTAAAATATTTCTGCTGTGTTCCCTGACACACACATTGCGTCTACTCGTTCTGCCAAACAGCCAAAAATATGACATTAGAATAACTTATTTCAGATTGGGAGTCAATAGGGTAGAAGCAAAATGGTGACACATAAGAAACAAATACATAATATCCCCAATAATCCCCTTTTCAAATCTCAGAAATCAAGACAGGGCCCATTTCTCAGCAAATGGTTTGAACTTGAAAATAAAAGTGAAAACAAAATGATTTTTCATATGTGCTTTTGATACTCCTGTTTAGAAACAGCCAAACAAATCTACTTCCTAAAACAAAATATATATTAAGAGGTTTTAATATTTGTAAATCAGAGCAGCAGAGGGCAGCATTAAGAGGCTTATGATTACTGGCAGTAACTGCAAGAAGCAGTCCTGGCATGTGTCAGAGGAAGAAATTCTATCTACTCTTCCTTTAGAGACAGGAAGGTCTGCCTTTCAATGACTGACTTAGTTATGGCATTGCATCAGTCCTACTTCAAACTGTAGAATGCTGAGACAGTTGTAATACTGCAGGAAAACAACTGAAAACACCATCAGTCAGTCAAAAAGGTATGTCTTCAGATCTGCTTTGCATTTATTTTTGTGAAATAATATTGCTATCATGAATTTGCTTATTTCTTGTATTTACAGGGGAAAAAACCTACACAGGGCTATGGTTAATAAAACTGGTCCTACGAGAGAAATTAGAAATTTATTTAGAGAAACCTTTATTTAAGGAGACAGGCAATATTGGAGAGCAATTCTAAGGAGAACCATCAGATGGCATGAGATTTAAATTACTTCCCTCTGAGGAAATCTGTAGAAATGCTCATCTGACATAACAGGCCGGATTGCAATCTCTCAGTTAAATTCAACTATGTTAGTCCTTATCTGCACAATTGAGTTAACCTGTATAAAACTTTAGTGAGAAAAGAATCAGACTCCCCCCCCTCATACATGGATTTTGAAGTCAACACAGATGACTATTTGCTTTCTTAAATTTGCTCAGAATTTAAAGGAAAGTGTGCCTATCTAATACTGTTGAAAGCTTGGAAATTTCCATACGATGGGGGCTAATTTGGCTACGACCAATCAGAAAAGAGATCTTGGAGTTATCGTGGATAGATCTCTGAAAACGTCCACACAGTGTGCAGCGGTGGTCAAAAAGGCAAATAGAATGTTAGGAATTATTAAGAAAGGGATAGAAAATGAGACAATATCTTACTGCCCCTGCATAAAACTATGGTACGCCCACATCTTGAGTACTGTGTACAGATGTGGACTCCTCACCTCAAAAAAGATATTTTGGCCTTGGAAAAGGTTCAGAAAAGGGCAACTAAAATGATTAGGGGTTTTGAACGGGTCCCATAAAAGGAGAGACTAAAGCGACTGAGCCTTTTCAGTTTGGAAAAAAGGAGACTGAGGGGGGATATGATAGAGGTATATAAAATCATGAGTGGTGTGGAGAGGGTGAATAAAGAAAAGTTACTCATTAGTTCCCATAATATAAGGACTAGAGGACACCAAATTAAATTAATGGGTAGCAGGTTTAAAACTAATAAAAGAAAGTAGTTCTTCATATAGCGCATAGTCAACCTGTGGACCTCCTTGCCGGAGGAGGCTGTGAAGGCTATAACTATAACAGTTTAAAGAGAAGCTAGATAAATTCATGGAGGTTAGGTCCATAAAAGGCTATTAGCCAGGGGGTAGGAATGGTGTCCCTGGCCTGTGTTTGTCAGAGGCTGGAGACAGATGGCACAAGACAAATCGCTTGATTATTGTCTTCGGTCCACCCCCTCCGGGGCACCTGGGGTTGGCCACTGTCGGCAGACAGGCTTCTGGGATAGATCGACCTTTGGTCTGATCCAGTACAGCCATTCTTATGTTCTTATACTGAATTGCAATAGCTTTCTACAGTTAAATGCAAAAACTAAATTAAGAAAGAAGTTTGGAATTCCAATTTTATGTTTCCTGAGGGAGTTCCAATTTTGTTTTCTGAGCATCTGTAACTTACTTAGACTATACAGTATTTTGCTGCCTTTTTTTTATCATTACTGTGTGAGTACTGTCTGTGGGTAAGCTACCATGGGCTGCTAACTTAGTTCAGCATCTGTTTACGCATGCACGCTCTCACATACTAAATGGATTTTCACGATTCTATTTTGAAATAGCTTACTTTGAAATCTGGCACATCTACACAGTGCCAGATTTCAAAATAATGCACTGTTTCGAGACATCATTCCACAAGAGTTATCTCGAAATAGCGGGCACGTTCAAAAGACATGGGATAGCTATTTCGGGATATTTCTGGTATCCCAAAATACCCCTCCTCTTTCTCCCTTCCTCCCCTCCCCCCAGTGTTTTCAGGGGACTGAATAGGAGGCTACTTTTCCCTCACTTATCACTTTGAGCAAATTAATTAGCTCCCTCTATATTTCAGAAAAGTCAATGAGAGTGTTCAGAAGGTCAGCCCTCAGCTTGCTTCTCCAAGTTGTAGCAGCAGGATGTATGTGCTCTTCTACATTTTTCTATTCTTCTTTAAGGAGTGTCCCTGTGGGTGCTCCATCTTGGCTACGCCAGTACCTCTGCGCCTCTGGTTGGTAGAATTTTGATAGCAGTGCCCCACCCCCAGCCAGCAGTGCATGCAGAATGCTGATGCGCAACGCTTCATCCCATGCACACAGCCAACCACCTCATAGGTTCCTTTCTGACCACCGACCGCTGGCTTTGGTCACAACAGAGCAGTTGCCCTTATTTAGTTTCTCCTACTATATTCAAATTTAGTATTAATTGTTCACCTTAGCATTAGTTGGCTTAGATTCACTGTTTTTTCTTTTTTTCTTCTTTTCTTGTTACATAAGGAAAAAAAAAAAAGGAAAGGAGAGAGAATTCCTTCCCTTTGCTTAACAGAAGCTGCGGTTCCTACACCGCCTGCAGAAACCCCCAGTCTTAAGAAAAAAGAAACTCTTTCAAAACTGCCTGAAATTGACCAGCAGGACAAAATTCAAGAGCTGCCACTGAGCAAACTAAAATCTCGCCCCCCAGACTCATGTCCCCTAGGGAGGAACATGCGACCACTCTCCTAAAGCCCCAGGGACCAAGACAGGGCTTAAGCGCTCAGAAAGAGGTTCCACTTCTTGGCAGGCTGTGACTCCCTGCTGAGGAAACTCTCAGCAAATAACAATTCTGTTTCCGTGCCTGTTACAGCTAAGGCTCTGGAGAAACAGATGGGGAACAGGGCCAGTACACACAAAAGCCAGGACCTTAAAGAGAAGGTCCAACCTTCCTCCCACAAACCGAGCGTGGAGCCGAAGCACAGGAACTCCACACCAGCACCGGCGGAAGCGCTGTCAGCTCCGACACCGAGCACTTCAACACAAGCACTTAAAGAGCTGGCACCGTCCAAACGCACAAATGTGCTTAAGAAGCACCCGGCTCCAGCTGAAGCTCCAATGACAGTGCAACAATACAAATACCCCCAGTGCCATCCAGCTCCCCCCACCTCAGCTGCCCCAGTTTATGTCCACAGCAGAGTTGATGGTAACATTTGGTACCAGGGATGCCACTGTATGAGACAGATGGCACCCTAAATACCTCGAGATTTAGTGTGTCTTCAACACCAGCTATGGCATCTCCCTTAATGAGTGATGATGACGACTGGAAGCCTACATACACGCATACTCCCAGAAGTTCGTTGCCCAAGCCAATGCAACAAGTGCAACAATGGCAACAACCACAATGGCTCTGTTACCCGGAGAGCTGAGGCAAACAATTGCTGTGCTGTGGGCTATGCAATTTAATTTAAAGCCTAAGGTGCCCTCCCACAGAAGCCAGATTTGGCTTGGTATCCTGTATCTAATCACCAGGGAAACAACTTAGAAATTACCAAACAACAAGAATTGAGGGCCAAACCATGTATTTTAAAGGTAAAGATCAAACATCAACAAACAACATGCAATTTAGCAACAGTCCCACCCTAACCCTAGAAGAGAAGATAGAAGAGTCCCACACACATAAGGTCATACATTACATTCACAGTCGGCGATTGATGCTAGATGTTCGTGACTTACAACCTTGCGGCTAGTGTAAAGCCTTAAGGGAGGACAAACAGAGCAATCCCTTGATGGATGTTTCTCGCCTCCTGCAAGCTGGCGCTTGGTGGAGTACCGGATTCTGTCCGAGTATCCCGTAAGTGAGACGGTATTATAAGTCCCAAAGTCTTAGTGATGGTGGAAAAGGCTTCCCTTATTCCAAATAATGTCACTAGAAATGGGTAGTCTTGTCAGACTGCAGGCTGAAACTTTGGCCTCCTCAGGGAAGACAATGATGCAGGGGAACAATGATGAATCAGACGCATGCACAGGACATGAAGGGAGCCAAAGAACACGAGTGTTCCTTGAAAAGAGCTTATAAACACTTCAAGGTGGGAAAACACTTGAAGGAGAGCGGTGCAAAGAACTAGAGCCGGGTGCATAAGGAATTGAGTGCCATGTGCAAAAGATGGATGCGCATGCAGGCAAATGGGGCGGTGTGCACAGTCTTTGGTGCTGAGTGCACAGCTTTAGTGCTGAGTGCACAGCATTTCCCTTCCTGGTTTTGGCGGGAAAGATGCTTTGAGGAAAAGAGAGAACCCCACAGACTCCATTTTGTATTTTAAATATTATGCCCAGGCAACAGCTCCCACTACCCATACCACCCAACTGGCTGTACTGGGACCCATGGGTAGCATACACAGTTCAACAACCTCAGCAGCTGCAACTACCACAGGTGCCCAAACTTCAGGTCCTCCCCACTCAGTCACCTGACCATTCTTCCTTCTCAGAGGACAAAGAGGTGGATATCACAGGGGCAGAAAGAACAATTGACTTCTCACAAACTATGCATCCTCTATCCTTGATATCGCTGTCAGCTATGCCAGAGACTCAGTGCAATCTGACGAATATTCTGCATGCTTCACCACATGCCAAGCTGGCAATCCACATGAATGAAGCACTCATGGATCCTGCCAAAACCTTATGGCAGATGCCAGCAATAATCCCATCAACTTTCAAAAGATCCGACCGCAAGTATTAGGTGACCCCGAAAGGTGTGGAATTCTTATTCTTGAATACTATGCCAAGCTCTCGTCATCAAGGCAAACAACCAGAAGAGCAAGCATCACATCATGTGCACAGTCCTCTACAACAACGACTGGAAACGTCTGGACCTAATAGGCAGGAAGGCTTACTCCTCTGCTAGCCTTCAGCTCAGAATTGCAAACTGTGTGTCCCTCTTTGCAAATACACACATCACATATTTGATCAGCTAGCAAATTTTATTGAAGACCTTCCTGACAATAAAAAAAAAAGAGCAATTCAAAACGAACATCAATGAAGGAGTATTAATCTCCAGAATAGCCCTACAGGTCACATTAGATTAAGCAGATACGGTCTCACGATCCCTAGTGTCAGCAATCGTCATGAGGCGTGCTTTGAGCTTCAACTTTCCAGCTTCCCAAGGGAGGCCTAGTCCACAGTTGAATATATACCATTCGAAGGCACGAAGTTTTTTGCTGAATCCACCAATGCCTC